ACCAAGACCCATCGTACGAATAATGCTGCGCCAACTACTACTAGTACTACTGCTACTACTACGACTACTACTACTTTTACTGCTACTGCTACTGCTGCTGCTACTGCTACTACTACTACTACTACTACTACTACTACTACTACTACTACTATTACTACTACTACTACGACTACTACTACTACTACTACTATTCATACCGCTACTACTAGTACGGCTACTACTACTACGGCTACTACTACGGCAGTAAGGATTCGCATTCTTCTCCATATTTTTTCTACGCCTAGTGCTATTACCACTTCTACGACTGCTCCTACCCCGAATCGTTTATTCAGCATTATTACTTCGACGGCTACTTTTGCGATTGCTACTCTGTGTGTTGCTACGAGTACTACGATTGATACAACTACTACGAATAACCATACTACTATGACTACTGTGAACACCTACTATTACTGCTACTACTACTGCCATTACTGCTGATACTGCTACGACTACTACCTTTCCTACTACTACTGCTTCTACTACTACTCCTACTGCTACTACTACTATTAATAATAATACTACCACCGCTGGCGGTGATCATATTATTCCCATCAGTATTGCAACTACTACGACTGCTACTGCTACCACTATTGCTGCAACTACTGCTACAACTCACTACGAACGCAGCCACTACTTGTATTATTTATTCCACGGCTACTATAACTACAACAACTACTACTACTACTACTACTACTACTACTACTACTACTACGGCTACCGTTACTACCACCACTGCTGCTACTACTTCCTACCGAATTCCACTACCACCACGACTACTATCAATACTGCTACAACTAGTGTTATGACTACTAGGATTATTATTACGACTACGACTAAGACTACGACTACGATTCCTATTACCACTACTACTATGACGACGGCGGCTACCACTACATCTACATGGGTTACGAGTGCTACTACTATCACCACCATTAACTTCTATGACCACTCCAACTGTTTATTACTACTACTACTACTGCGACTACGGCGACTACTTCTTCTTCTTCTTCTTTTCCTTACTACTACTACTACTACTACTACTACTACTACTACTACTACTACTACTACCTATACCGCTCTACGACCAGTCTTACGCGCATCGGCTCATACATTCCCTGGTGCATCCTGTTCGGGAGATCATTGGTTGCACATGAGCTTACAAGTTTGCTGAGTATTACCACCACTAGTAGTGATCAGATGTTTCATGATTACGACTACCACGACGGCTACCACTACTTCTATTACTACGACGACTACTACGACTACGACGACTACTGCTACTACTACTACTACTACTACTACTACTACTACTACTACGACTACTACTACTACTACTACTACTACTACTACTACTACTACTACTACTACTACTACTACTACTACTGCTGCTGCTGCTGCGGCTGCTGCTGCTGCTGCTGCTGCTACTGTTGCAACTGCCACTCCTACTACGACAACAGCTGCTCTTCGACGTATTTCTATCACTACTACAACTACGACTACTACCATTGATACCACTGCTACCACTGCTGCTACAACTACAACTACAACAACAACTATTACTACTACTATGTTTACCTACTACTACCACTACCACGACTACTACGACGACGACTACTACTACCATTACTACTATTGCTACTTGTACGATTATTGCGACTACGACTAGGATTGCGATTGCGATTCTTATTGCCACTACCATTATGACGACGACGATTGCGGCCATTTTTACCATTACGACTACCACCACTACTTCCACTGCTACTACTAGTACTACCACTATTTTTTCCACCCCTGTTACCACAACTACATGGGCTACGAGTACAAGAAGTACTAAGACTAGTATTTCTACGACTACTACACAGTCTACGACTACTACTACGATTACTACTACCATACCTACGATTACGACTAATACTACTACCTACCTACCTACCTACCGACATACCTACCTACTACTACTACTACGACTACGACTACTATGCCCATCATTGTTGCTATTACTAGTACTATGACTATTTCTATCATTGCTACTACTACTAGTACTACTACCACTGCTACTACAACCCCCACTACTACTACTACCACTACTACTACTATGGCGACGTCGACTACCACTACAACTACATGGGTTACGAGTGCTACTATTATCGCCACCATTACTTCTATGACCACTCCAACGGTTTATTACTACTATTACTACTACTACTACTGCGACTACGGCGACTACTTCTTACTACTACTACTACTACTACTACTACTACTTCTACTACTACTACTACTACTACTACTACTACTACTACTACTACTACTACTGCTACTACTACTACTACTACTACTACTACTACTACTAGTACTACCTATACCGCTCTACGACCAGTCTTACGCGCATCGGCTTATACATTCCCTGGTGCGTCCTGTTCGGGAGATCATTGGTTGCACATGAGCTTACACGTTTGCTTAGTATTACCACAACTAGTAGTGATCATATGTTTTATTATTACGGCTACCACGACTGCTACCACTACTTCTGTTACTACGACGACTACTACGACTACTACCACTACTGCCACTACTACTATTACTACTACTACTACTACTACTACTACTACTATTACTACTACTACTACTACTACTACTACTACTACTACTACTACTACTACTATTACTACTACTACTACTACTACTACTACTACTACTACTACTACTACTACTACTACTACTACTAGTACTACTACTGCTGCTGCTGCTGCTGCTGCTGCTGCTGTTGCAACTACCACTCCTACTACGACAACAGCTGCTCTTCGACGTATTTCTATCACTACTACAGCTACGACTACTACCATTGATACCATTGCTACCACTGCTACTACAACTACAACTACAACAACAACTATTACTACTACTATTGTTACCTACTACTACCACTACCACCACGACTACTACGACGACGACTACTACTACCATTACTACTATTGCTACTTGTACGATTATTGCGACTACGACTAGGATTGCGATTGCGATTCTTATTACCACTACCATTATGACGACGACGACTGCGGCAATTTTTACCATTACGACTACCACCACTACTTCCATTGCTACTACTAGTACTACGACCATTTTTTCCACCCCTGTTACCACAACTACATGGCCTACGAGTACAAGAAGTACTAAGACTAGTATTTCTACGACTACTACACAGTCTACGACTACTACTACGATTATTATTACCATACCTACGAGTACGACTAATACCACTACCTACCTACCTACCTACCTACCGACCTACCTGCCTACTACTACTACTACGACTACGACTACTATGCCCATCACTGTTGCTATTACTAGTATTATTACTATTTCTATAAGCATTACTACTGCTACTACTACTACTACTACTACCACTACTACTACTACTACTCCTACTACTACTACTACTAATAATAATACTAATATTACTATTACTACTACTACTACGACGACGGCTACTACTACTATTACGACTACTCTTACCATCGCGATTGTTACTATTACGACGACTACTACTACGACTACGACTACTACCATTATTTCTACTACGCCAACAACAACAAGTACTACTACTAGTACTACTACTACTACTACTACTACTACTACTACTACTACTACTACTACTACTACTACTACTACTACTACTACTACTACTACTACTACTACTACTACTACTACTACTACTACTACTACTACTACTACTACTACTACTACTACTACTACTACTACTACTACTACTACTACTACTACTACTACTACTACTACTACTACTACTACTACTACTACTACTACTACTACTACTACTACTACTACTACTACTACTACTACTACTACTACTACTACTACTACTACTACTTCGACTGCTCTACTACCAGTCTTACGCGCATCGGCTCATGCATTCTCTGGTGCCCTCTGTTCGGGAACCGAATGATTGCACAGAAGCTTACATGTTTGTTTGTCATACCTTTTGCAGGACGACCCCGTCCGAAACATTCGCATGAGGAACGCCAGCATGCTAGTCCATGTTCCGTGCCGCCGCGGAAGGCACCAGGTTGCCAGGGTTCGCACCAGTTTACCACGGAATGTATGAGACGCCCCGTCTCCCCCACGGCCAGCGAGTTCCGAAGAAACTCCCCAGAGGCTCCCAGACGGCTTCCAGGACACTCCCCAGAGGCCCCCGGAAAGCCTCCGGCAGCTATCCCAAAACGCTTGTGGCATGCACCTGGAAGGCCTCCCGTCATTTGACAAAAACGATACCCCACGGGCTCCCGGAAAGCAGCGCCATCCATACGGCTGCGATGGCTCCTGGAAAGCACCAGGGTACTCGGAATCCACACAAACACACACACACGCGCGCGCGCAGAACGCTGTTTCTGCGACCCCTCCAGGACCGAGCGTGTACCAAATGATGTGGGGTGTAGGTTTTTCCCCATCACCTTGGGCCTCCTCCTGCTCCTCCCCGTCGTCGCTCTCTTCCGCCGCAGGCACTCCTGCCGGCGGAGTTGGAGCCGCACGATGTCCCAGAGGGGGAAGAGGAGCAGCAGGAGGAGGCGGTGGACAAGGACAGCCCAACACAACGGAGAAGTAGCAGGAGGAGGAGGATGCGGAGGACGAGGAAGAGCCGAGCACAAGGAGGAGGAGGAGGAGGAGGAGTAGGAGGAGGAGAGGAGGAGGAGGAGGAGGAGGAGGAGGAGGAGAGGAGGAGGGGAGGAGGGAGGAGGAGGAGGAGGAAGAGGAGGAAGAGGAGGAGGGGGCGGAGCATGCCCCTAGATCTGCTGCTGCTGCTGCTGCTGCTGCTTTTGTTAGCGCTGCTCTGGACACCGTCAGAATCAGCAAGCAAACAGCGCACCCTGAAGGAATCAACAGTAGCGAGCGCACTCTGAGCATTGGCATCTGTGGACGGTAGTCCACGGCTCAGCCCTCGTCAGCTACAACGCTGGGATCAGCGCCTGCGAGAAGGGAGAGCAGTGTCAGCGGATTCTGGAGCTGCTGCGCGAGATGCGGGAGACGACGCTGAAGCCAAGCTTTGTCTACACATGCCCGCCCCGAGCTTGCGCGAAAGAGCCCTGGCTTGGGGATCGTCCTTCGGCTCGGTCTCGTCCTTCGTCTCGGTCTCGTCCCAGCTCGGCCCCGGCAGAAATCCGCCCTCGGCTCGGTCCCGGCTGAGAGGTCGTCCTTCGGCCTGGGGGCCCGGAGTCCACACATGCTCGCCCCAATCGGCTCGTCCTTCGGGTTGTACTGCGGCACCGAGAATGCTGGGCAGATGTGCGGGCAAGAGTTATATCCACATCCACTGCGTCTTGGAGTTTCTGGGTAGGGGCGCCAGAAGGCCGAGGCGCAGTGGATATGGATAACAATCTAGCCTCTAGGGTCCAGATTTTTTAGCCACATCCACTGCGCCTCTGGTTTCTGGGGAAGGGAACCCAGAACTCCAAGACGCAACGGATATGGATGCAAATCTTCCCCGCAATGTGTTGCGCGCCAGGAGGGCCCCGCAGACGATGACCAGCCTGGGCACCTGCGCGGCTGCGTCTCCTCGGCCTCGCTCGATGGGCGCCGCCGTCCCGGCCCAAGAGAGCCCCCGGGCACCTCGGGAGGGCTCCGAGGTCCGAGGCGGCCCGTCCCTCCTCCCCCCTCCCCCCTCCCTCGTCCCTTCCTCGTCCCTCCTCCGCCCCCTCCTCCTCCTTCCCCTCCTCCTCCCTCCTCCCTCTTCCCTCTTCCCCCTCCTCCTCCTCCTCCGCCCCCTCCTCGTCCTCCTCGTCCTCCTCCTCTCCCTCCTCCTCCGCCTTCTCCCTCCTCCCTCCCTACCTCCTCCCTCCTCCCTCCTCCCTCCTCCCTCTCCCCTCTTCCCTCTTCCCTCCTCCCACCTCCGCCTCCTCCTCCTCCTCTCCCTCCTCTCCCTCCTCTCCCTCCTCTCCCTCCTTCTCCTCCTCCTCCTCCTCCTCCTCTCCTCCTCGTCATATCCGTAAGGGCTTCCCCCCGTGCCGCTGGCCCCCTCTCTATCATAATGGGATATTGCAGTCGCGTCGGTGCGTCTCAGCGCTGCTTTGGCGCTTCTGGGAACAGCATGCTGGGGCGGATAGGAGTCATCAGCGCATATTGTAACGTTGGTGTTGTCGAAGACGCCTACGGCGAATCACCGCCGCCCCCTGCCCTTTTGGAAGCGCCTATGTGGCCGAACGTTGAGGCCAGACCTGCCAAGCTATCGGACCATGTGTTCCCCGAATCGGTTTGGAAAGCCTACGGGGAACACGTGGGCATCTTGAAGGTCATCTTGGCCGTCTGGAGGCCATTTTGACCTTTTCGGGCCTTCTTGGAGGACGTCTTGGAGGGATCTTGGGCCGTCATTGGAGGCCATCTTGAGCGTCTTGGAGGCCTCTTGGGCCGTCTTGGGGGCCTCTTGGGGCAGTCTTGGGCCTCTTTGGCGATCTTTGGGGGCACTTGGGCCGTCTCGGGCCGTCGGAAGGCCGAAAAAACTACGAATGCCACAATCCTTCAAAGACTTATTAGAAATCAATAGTGTTGGCCTTTTCGGGCCTTCCTGGGGGCCCTCTTGGAGGCCTCTTGGGCCGTCCTGGGCCTTCTTGGAGGACGTCTTGGAGGGATCTTGGGCCGTCATTGGAGGCCATCTTGAGCGTCTTGGAGGCCTCTGGGCCGACTTGGGGCCCTTTTGGGGTGCTCCAGGGCCGTCCCAAGACGGCCCAAGAGGACCCCACGAGGCTCCCAGAAGGCCACAAGACGGTCCAAGGGGGCCCTAAACGACCCCCAGGAGGCCGAAAAGAAACCCCGAGAGGCCCCCAAACGGTTCCCAAGGAGAGGGAAGCGCCCGCCATCAGTGGCCGAATAGGGAGCGTTGCCCTCCTCCATGGGTGCGGGCGCGAGCGAAAGAGCGCCGAACTAATGAACAGCAACCTGGGCACTACTTCCCTACTCCAGGGCGCCCTTCGCCGCTGCCGCCCAAGTGAGGCGAGATACACCAGAGGCCTGCAGGGAGCGCAGTCCCCAGCACAGTCTGTTCCGAGAGGGGCACGGAGACGGCGTTCAAAAGGACGTGGTTCCCTGCGCGTGGACAGTGAGGCTCAATACACAGTCCACCGTGCGACGTTTCGAGTGCCCTTGGGCAGCATCGATCTATCCCGTGGGCACGAAGCAGACAGCAGCAGCGGCGGCACACAGCAGCAGCAAGCATCGGCAGGCAGCGGGTAGAAGTACGCGCACCAAGCGGAACTGGCCATCAGCAACAACCTGCAGCCACAAGCAACTTGAACACGCAGCAGCGGCATCAAGCACTACCAAGAGTATGCAAAAGCGGTAGCAAGCAGCAGCACGCAGTAGCATGCGCGGAATGTGAGGTCGGGTCCCACAATCATATGCCAGTTCGTGCACATCTCGTGGACGGAGTCCACGGGTCAGTCCTACCTTCGTCGGTGGCCTTTTCCGGTACCCACAACCCACGACGACGACCACCACCACCACGATAACGACGCCGACTACGACGGGTACGACGGCGGCCTCGCGGCGGCGACGACAACGACGCCGACGATGACGGCGACGACGGCGGCCCCGCGACAGCCAAGCTGCTGGAGCGCTGCTAGAGCTCGGACACGAAGGCGCAGTCTCGCTACCGTCGCCCCGGCCGCCGCCTTGCTTATAGGTTTTCGGCAACATGTTCGCCATTCCTCCAAGAGCCATTCCAGAAAGATGTCGTGGACGGAGACCACGGGTCAACCCTAGTCAGCTACAGCGCTGGGATCAGCGCGTGCGAGAATTGCGAGCAGTGGCACATAGCTTTGTCGCTGCTCAGCGAGATGTGGAAGGCGAAACTGAAACCCGACGTTATCAACTACAGCGCTGGTGTCAGCGCGTGCGGGAAGGGCGAGCAGTGGCAGTGGGCTCTGGTGCTGCTGGGCGAGATCTGGTTGGCGAAACTGAAGCCCGGCGTCATTAGCTACAGTGCTGGGATCAGCGCGTGCGGGAAGGGTGGGCAGTGGCAAAGGGCTTTAGCGCTGTTCAGCGAGATGTGGAAGGCCAAACTCAGGCCCGACGTCACCTGTCCTACAGTACCCTGCATTGCTCTGCTGGCAGCGCCTGGGGGTGCCGGCCAGGACCCACCGGGAGGGCCTGCGCCTCCCGGACGGCCCAGGCGAGCCCAAGAGTCCTCTAAGTTTAAGTCGGGCCTGTCCCCCTACAGGGGGGGGGTTCGACGAAAAACAAAAAATACCCCCAAAATAATCAAAAAATAGTCTGGGGACTATTTTTTGAGTATTGTTTTACCTTTTTGGTGTATTTTTGTATTTTTTATTTTTCGTCGAAAATCCACCTGTGAGGGGACACGCCCGACATAATGCGACAATCCTGTCCCCCATACACTCAGGATGGGGTTCTTGTTCCCCATATCCAAAGCATGGGGGTCTTTCACTCACCTCCCTCCGCCTCCTCTTCCTCACCCAGAGTCACGCTCACCAAGCGCGCTCCACTACTCGCAGAGTGCCTACTCGCGAACGTCCGGAAACCAGATGCTTGCTTTGATGAGATCCAGGCCATTTGCGAGTACTTACTTTGGCGAATCGTGGAGCGCGCTCGTCTACACACTCAGGGTCGCTACTTAGGTTATATTATGATGATAGCTATGATGATGGTGATGATGATGGTGCTGATGATGCTGATGATGGTGATGATGACGACGGCGATGATGATTTTGATGAAGTTGATGATGATGGTGATGATGAGTATGATGATGCTGATGGTGATGATCGTGGTGATGATGATGTGGGTGGTGGTGGTGGTGATGATAGCAGTGGATGCTGTCACTGTTGGCAGATGGTGACGATGATGATGCTGCTGGTGCTGCTGATGAACGTGAAAACGATGATGATGCTGCTGACGAGGATGCTGCTGCTGATGACGGTGGTGATGATGATTCTAATGATTATGATGACCAATGTGATGATGGTGATGATGATGATGACGATGATGATGATGATGATGCTGATGTCAATGATGATGCTGATAATGGTGATGATGCTGATGCGTAGGATGGTGGTGCTGTGAATGATGATGTCAACATTGATGCTGATAATGATGACGATGTTGATGACGATGACGATGACGATGATGTTGCTGATGATGATGATGCTGATATTGATGATGATGCTGCTGATGATGCTGATGATGATGATGATGCTGCTACTGGAAGGTGATGATGATGGTGGTGGTGGTGATCATGATGATGACGATGATGATGAAGATGATGCTGCTGCTGCTGCTGATGATGATGATGAAGATGATGATGATGATGATGATGATGATGATGATGATGATGATGATGATGATGATGATGATGATGATGATGATGATGATGATGATGATGATGATGATGATGATGATGATGATGATGATGATGATGATGATGATGATGATGATGATGATGATGATGATGATGATGATGATGATGATGATGATGATGATGATGATGATGATGATGATGCGGAGGATGTCTCGAGCGAGGCGCTGGTTTTCGCACACCCAAGGGGGGCGCCAGAGGGTATCGCACGGGTCCGTTCGTGCTCAGATTGCGGGGATACCTCGAGCGGTCCGCCTGCTTGCATGCTCAGTATCTTCCGTCTTCGGAGCGAGGCGCTGGTTTTCGCACGCCTTAGGGGGGGGCACAGCACCGGATGGTGCGCCGGCCCGTTCGCGCCCAGATTGCGGGGATGTCTCGAGCGATTTGCCTCTTTGCATGCTCAGCATCCTCCGCTTTCGGAGCAGATCGAAGACTCTGAGGATGTCTTGCTTTTGTCCCCAAGGGAGGGCCGCCAGGGGGTATCTCACTCCTCCGTTCGCGCGCAGTCTGTGGGGATGTCTCGAGCGGCTTGCCCGTTTGCGTGCTCAACATCCTCCTCTTTCGGAGCAAATTTGAAGGATGTGTCGAGCGAGGCGTTGGTTCTCGCACGCCCGAGGTCCTGGGAGGAAAAACCATCCGGACCCGACAATTGGGGTTTAGTAGACGGCCTTCTGCGTTTACTAAACAGCTTTGCCCTGTTCGATTCTTTCTGTGGGTGCGTTTGCTAAACGGCTTCGCGTGTCGGGGTGATAATTCTGGGGGTAGATTTTCTACCCTCTAAAAGGGGAGGGGGCGCCAGGGGGTATCTCATTCTTGCGTTCGCGCGCAGATTGGGGGGATTTCTCGAGCGGTGTGCCCGTTTGCGTGCTCAACACCTTTCGCTTTGGGAGCAGATTTGGAAGATGTCTCGAGCGAGGCGCTGGATTTCTCACACCCAAGGGGGGCGCCAGGGGGCATCTCACTCTTCCGTTCGCGCCCAGATCGCGGGGACGTCTCGAGCGGTTTGCTTTTTTGCGTGTTCAACATCTTCCGCTTTCGGGGCAGATTTTGAGCATGTCTCCGGCGAGGCGTTGGTTTTCGCACCCCAGGAGGCTCAGATTGCGAGGATGTTCCGGGTGGTTTGCTTGGTTTGGTGGCCAGATCCGCTTGCGTTCAGAGCAGATTCTGAGGATTTTTCGGGTGAGGCGCTGGTTTCAGCGCCCGAAGGGGCCCAGATTGCGAGGATGTCAGACTCACTTATGCTCAAACTGACTCGTGCTCAGGCTCACTCGCACTCAGACTCGTAACCCTGTGCCGGTGATAATCACACCACGGGGATAATAAAGGTCGGGGCCCCGGGGAGAGAGAAACACATCTTCCCAGCTAGTCGCATGTAGGCATGTACCATGTACGGATGTAGGAGCACGAAGCCTGAGAAATCCTCCTCGCTCTTGGTGCTGGCGGGGCCTTCACTGGATGGGGTGGGCCGAGCGCGGAACCTGAGAAATAACATGGTACAGCGACACCCCGCTCGTTCTGGCGGGGCCTCCCTGGCGTGGTGGGAGGGGCGAAAAACTGGTGAAGCATTTGTATAGCCACACGTCGCTCTCTCTGGGAGGGGTAGAAGGAGGAGGGGGAGACAGAGAAGAGAAGGAATATAAGCAAGAACAGGAGTAACGAAGAGAAGGAGGGGAGGAGAAGGAGAAGAATGAGGAGGAGGACGACGAGTAGAGGGAGGAGCAAGCTGAGGAGGATATGAGGAGGAGATCTCCATAGAAATCAAAGTTTCGGGCGTATCATAATCTAGACGTAAAACTACCCTATTATTTGTGGTTTCCTATTCGTCGCGTAGGAGTACTCATGGTTGCTCTTGGGGGGTGATAGTCAATGACGGCGATCAACTTGTTCAGCCGGGGCGCGGAGGGAGGAAGGAGGGGGGCGGAGGAGAGAGGTACAGACAAGCTAGGTGCGCTCGCGTCATATCTGACGTCCTGCCCCTCCCTCCCATCCCCCACCATGGCGTTGATTTCCTCTCTATTTGCAGTCGGATGTCGAGCAGGGCAATGATCGTGAGAGGGTGCGCGATGCATCGTAGAGCACGACATGGCATGGCGTAAAAGAGCACGGCAGAGCGTATAACATCATAGCATGGTGTGGCATTGCGTAGTGAAGCATTGCACCACAAAGCATTGCAGCGCAAAGCATGGCATCGCACAGCGGCGCAGAACACCGCACAGCATTTCATGGCAGGGCACTGGGTTCCTTGGAGGGTAAGTGGATAATCTTCGATGGGTCGGAATCGTGGCTCCATGCTTAGCTTCCTGGGTTCCGCGGCAAGCTCGCCACAAGGCGGGGCTGATGGAGAGCAACCGTTGGCGCTGCTTGCAACATCGCTTTCTGAAAACAGAAACGGGGCTCCCGCCTGATGCTTCCTCCAACCGCCGCCGCTCCGAAGTGGGGGGGTGCCTTCTGCGGCCCAAAAACTCAACGAAGCGGCACCGGACGTGTAATCACTTCCGATGTTTTCCTGTGGGTAATACAGTCAACCAGTACAGTAAGGATGGACAACCGTCCCAAGGGTACCCTTGCATCCTTGCCTCCTCTGTCCATCCTTCGCCGCTTTGCCGCGCCCCGCTTGAAAAGCTTCGAAATGGGCGTCCAAGGCCCTTGCATCCTTATCGCGCATCCTTGCTATACTGGTTGATTGCATTTTCTAAAAAATGTGGGGCCGATGTGGAAGGACCGAAAACGCCCGCGTTGCAGCGGGAACACGTTTTGGAACAACCAGAGGCGCAGAAATGGGGCCAGCGTTGCAGCGGGAGCAATATTTTGAGGCCTCGAATCGGAGTGCAAAAAAACACATATGAAAACAAGGAAATGAGGTCAGCGCTGCAGCGGGAGCACGAGTCGGAACGAGCGGAAGGCCGAAAATGAGGCCAGCGTTTCGGCGGGAGCAACATTTCGGAAAAACCCAGCGAGAACCTAGTTCCTGGGAATCGTATGTGTAAAAAAACTACGCGGGGGGGGGGGCGAATATCTTCCGGACGTCGTCAGGGGAGACAGGAGAGTAGTATCCATATGTGAATGTGCGAAGAAAATGGCTAAGAGGAAAATGTACGAAAATAAGGAATGGAAGAATAGAAAGAGAAGGAGAAGAAGGATAAGAGGCGAACAGTGAGTTGCGATGTCGGAGATGGACTCGAACGTGGGCCTTGCGTCCTTCGATTCCGTCCTCCATCCAGTAGCATTCCAGATCGCCATTGTTTGGTGCTCTCGCTGTGGCCTCGCGGGGCCACGAACCGTGTGAGGGGTGTGCCAGAATGGGGGTCTACGAGAGGGCGATGATGATAACAAAGGATGCTGATGATAACAAAGGATGCTCATGATAGGATGATTCAATGTACGATTCGTATGTTCCGTGGTGGAAGTAAAAATCGGCCTCGCCGCTCCGCCCACCTAGCAAATATAAGCATCCCATGGCTATTCACGACTCAGGGGTTAAGGGGGGATGCTTTATTATCGCGGGCATGCGGTTATTCATTATACTCATACTCAAACCCACCACGCTGAGACTTTTACGCGCACTCGGTCTCACTAACACTTAGCGGTACCCACCCTCAGATTCACTCGTGGTCAGACTCACTCGTACTCAGACTCACTCATATTCAGATTCATACCCATCATACTCCAACTCAAACCCACTCACATGCAGACTTAGTCACACTCATAATCACTCACACACAGACCCACCCTCAGAATCACTCGTAGTTAGACTCACTCGTATTCAGACCCATTCAGACTCAGACTCGTACCCCTTATATCCATAATCAGACCCACTCACACTCAGACCCGACCACACTCAAACTCACTCTCACTCAGACTCACTCATACTCAGACTAACACATTCTCAGACCCACTCGTATTCGGACTCTTGCATACCTACACTAAGTGAAATTCATTCTCCACCACACCCGGGCTGACTCACATTCAGACTCACTCGCACCCAGATCACTCATGCTCAGATTCATTCGGTCTTCTCTCCTTAAGTGGTCCAGTGCCCCCTTGCTTTTCCACCGGTGATTCCCTCATCTCTCCTGGAAGATGCCCAAGAGAAGGATAACGTAACTGAAGTCGTCGCTGTCGCCGTCGTCGCTGTCGCGCCCGTCGTCTACGCTGACTCGCTCTCACAACCAAGTGCTCACAGACAGAGTTCCTCAGCGAGACGTGGCAGGAGTATGAGATGCACATATCTATACGGGGAGCTCCACGCAGTGAATCACTGTTGAAATGGGCCTTCTAAAAATTCGAGCATACCCTGCTTTGGGGCCCTTGCAGCCTTGCGGCGTTCACGACGGCCCCACAGCTCCCAAGATCGCCCCAGGCCCGGCCAAGAGCTTCCAAAGATAATCCAAACGTGGCTCCAGAGAGCTTTTAGCTGGGCCAAGACGGCACCAGAGAGCCCCAAAGACGGCCCCAGGCCGGGCCAGGAGGCCTCCCCGGTCCCATCCGGAGGCAGCTCGACGTCCTGGGGCGGCCCAGGGCCCTCCTGGCCCTGCGCCTGGAAGCCAGAACCGTGTGAGGAGGTGCGGCCTTGGCTTCTCACGTGGTTCCGGCGCCCTGGGGCTGCCCCCGAAGGCCCCCTGGGTGCCATTTGGGGGCGTTTCAGGGTCCTCCTGGGGCGGCCTCGGGCCCCCCATGCCGCTCGATCGAAGGCTGAGGGGACGTTCCAGGAGGGGCCCCGCTTGGCCGGGCTTGGTGGCCAGCGCGCTGGACAGCGGGCCCAGCAGCGCAGCCGCAGCTGCAGTCCGGCCCAGCCCGAGATACACGCAAGTCAGTCATGTGGAGCGTCTCCCAGATCCCCCTCTCTCACCTCTTCGGGGCTGCCGCCGCCGTCGTTGCCGCCTCGCCATCGCGGCCGTTTGTCGTCGTCGTCGGCGCCGCCGGCCGCCGTCGTCGGCGTCGTCGTCGTCGTCGTTGCTGCCGCCGTCGTCGTCGTCGTTCTTCGCCGTCATCGTCGTCGCCGCCGTCGCCGCCACCATCGATGCCCTGCTGGGGACACCTGCGGATTTTCTCCACGGGTGCGCTTTAGTCAGCTACACCGCTGGAATCACTGCGTGTGACGAGGGCAAGCAGTGGCAGCTGTCTCTGGCGCTGCTGAGCGAGATGTGGCAGGTGAAGTTGGAGTCCGACGTCATCTGTCTATTCTGACGCCAGGCGCACCGCGTGCGGGAAGACTGGGCGCTCAAGCAAGTGACTGAAAGTCGCCCAGGCCAGCCATTGCGCTCCTGGGCCATACTGGGGGGCTCGAGCATGGCACAAGAAGGACCCAAGATGGTCCAAGGTGGCCCGAGACGCCTTCAGACGGTCCAAGTGGTCGCCAATATGGCCTCCATACGGCCTGACAGGACCCCAAGACGGCCCAAGAGTGCTCCAAGATGCCACCGCAAGAGGGCTCCGAGAAGCCTCGATCATTGATGGTCGTACGACGTTTGACGGATCTTGAGGTTTTCGCTTTTTCAGGGCTCCGACCCTCCAAGGCGGCCCAGTGGCCTCAAATGTTGCCCAAAGACGGCCCAACATGCCCCGTGCACGATGATCAGCAGCACGATGCCTGTGTCGTGGCTGCTGTGGCCACCAAAAAAACCAAGCATTTTCTTTTTGGGTGGAGGGCAAAGGGTGAAATCTGAAATGTCGTTTCGATTGATTTTCGATGCTTGAATCTGCAAAAGGTGAATCACAAGACGGATTGATATTCGAGGTGCAAAAGCCCATATGGATTTCACACTGAGCCCTCCACCCCAAGAACATGTTCAGAAAGATCAAGGCCGCCGCCGCCCAGATGGCAGCGACGAGGCGTCACGCGAGAACGAGCGCACGCAGACGTCGATCTGCAGTTACATGCTGGCCGCGCGGCCCGCCGGTCTCCCCGCCTCCAGGGGCCCTCGCCTCGGGTGGGCGACGACGACGACGATGACGACGACGACGACGACGACGGCGACAACTACGACGACGACGACGACGACGACGACGACGACGACGATGGCCCCCAGACGGTCCAAGAAAGCCCAAGACGGCCAACGAGGCCCACAGCACGGCCCAATAAGATGGCCCCAAGGGGGGCCCAAGAGGGGGAGCTTGAACTTACATGTCGCGCCCTCCGCCCCAAGTTGGCCCTCTAAACAGCTAGCAGGCCCTCAAGAGACCTCACAGGAGGCACAGATGGATCCCAAGATGCCAAGGTCAGCCCTGAAGAGGCCTCAAAGCATTGACCCTTCCATACCAGTGCGCTTTCGTTGGCGATAGTCGCAGACCCCACGATGATTCAAGATGCCCGAAGTGATTGCACACGTATCGAAGGGCCTTCAGCAGTTCTAGCAGCAGCGTAGCCATGGGCAGCCAGCGATACGAACCATATACAGCATTCAATTCGGAGCAGCAGCAGCAGCAGCAGCAGCAGCAGCAGCAGCAGCAAGCCGAACCATACTACAGGAGCAACAAACAGCAACCGCCCTCATGCAACACACGGCAGCAGCAATCAGCAGCCGCAACAGCACGCAGCAGCAATCCGCCGCAGTGAGTAGCAAGCAACTCGCAAGTAAGCACGCAAGCACACATGCAACAATCACGTACCAAGCAAGACAACGACAAGCAACCATCAGCAACCTATACACAGCAAGTGACAACAGCATCCATATTTCGGACTTCTTGGCTTTCGTTGACGGAGTCCACGGCCCAGTCTTAGTCAGCTACAGCGCTGCCATCAGCGCGTGCGGGAAGGGCGAGCAGTGGAAACTGGCTTTGGCGCTGCTCAGCGGGATGTGGCAGGCGAAGGCAAAGCCCAATGCCATCAGCTACAGCGCTGGGATTAGTTCGTGCGAGAAGGGCAAGCAGTGGCAGTGGGCCCTGGCGCTGCTCAGCGAGATGAGGGAGATGACATTGAAGCCCAACGTCATCTGCACTACAGTGGAGACCCATGCCAAGAAACACCCTGCTTGCCTCCAGGCCCTGAGTTTCTTTGGTTTCGATGGTTTTGCTATGGAGAGCGCGACGTTCCCACACCAAAAATCGACGGACGTCCTGGGGTCTCAGGGTTGGGTTTCTTGTGGAAGGTTTCTTGTGGACGGGCCCCTACAGTACAATTCTGGGCGAAGCGCGCGCGAAAGGGGCGAGCAGCGCGATATCCTCGCGCGCCTCCGGGCGCTCCACGCAGTCTCCTGGGGCCCCCCGATTGCCCCAGAGCCGGCCTCAGGTGGCCCCAGGACAGCTCTGATCTCTGATGCCCGCAAGCGGGCGGCAGCCAAGACGATCCTACGGTTGGGTAGTTATGTGCAGCGTGTCCCGGGCGATTGCTGTTGGGACACGCTACGCGCAATTGCGCTTAGCGTGGCCTGATGCTTAGCGTGTCTAACCTACCCGTTTTAGCGTGTCCGAAGCTGGACCTGGGTCGAAAGCCTTGGCCGCCCGGACAGATATGCTTAGCGGGTCCCAAATTGGCCCTTGGATCCCCCCCTCCCCCTCCCCCCCTCCTTTTCCTACGTACTCCTCCCCACCCTCTTCATACTCCCCCCGAGGAAGCAAGACGAGATTTCCCAGATGGCGAAGGCGGGCGTCGCCCTCGGAGCAGGGCCAGTCGTGACCACTTCATGGGAGCCTCCTGGGAGGGCTTCTTGCGGGCCTCTTGCGGGCTTCTTGGGGACCTCCTGGGGCCTCTTTGGGCCTCTTGGGCCGTCTCAGGGAGGCGATTGGTCCGTCTGCTGCATTCGGAGGCCGTCTTGGTGGCCTGTCTGGGCCGTCTTGGCTTGGAGCGATTTAGGGCCGTCTTCGGGCTTCTGGGAGCCTCTTGGGCGATCTTGGGGTCCTCTTGGGCCGACTCGTGCCCTCTTGGGGGCCTCCGCCCAACGGCCTCCGCTTGGCCCAACTCCGCCCAAGGTCGGTCTGGTGACCCCGGGCCCGCCAGGGTCCACCCTGGGCTATCGAGGCGGGCCCCGCCGTGGCGACGAGAGCAGCCCCCCGAAGGCCCGACGCGGACGAAGGACGCCGCGGAGGGCCGCCGTTGTCTCGGCTGGCCCTCCTCTGAGCAGCGGGCGCGGCTCCCCTGCAGCGCCGGTGGCCTCGGGGGGTGGGGCGCGGCACAGCCCCCGGGGCCACAGCGAGGGGGCGCCGAAGACCGTCATCCACGCCGCTGGCTTGCTGGCCAGCGTCCAGACGCTAGGAGGGCTGCTGCTGCTGCCGCTCGTCGTCGTCGTCGTCGCCTCCTCCTCCTCCTCCTCCTCCTGAGGCGGGCCCGCTTCGATGCGTCGCCGCTGTCTGCGATCCCTCACGCTCCCTGCTTGAGCGCTTGAGGATGAGCTTAACGCGTGCGCACGACCTGCTCTTCCGCCGTCTCGCACTCGGGCCCTCCAGCGAACACTTGGCCACACTTTGTTGTGATTTGTTTCCTTTGGGCTCCAGCCTGCGCATCTCCCACGTCCGGCAGAGCTCCGGGAGGGACCCAGCGCCTCAGCCAGGCCAAGACGCACCTGAGCTCCCCTAGATAGCACCCAACGCCTCAAGACGGCGAAGGATACCCCAGGACGTCCCAGACATGCTTTCGCACACCTTGGCAGAAGCATCAGCGCCAGTAATTTGCATAATCCAGCAGCAGCAACCAGCACAAGCAGCAGCAGCAGCAGCAGCAGCAGCAGCAGCAGTTAGCAGGCAGCAAGCAGCCTTCTCGCGTCTGGGTCCTCTGGCGAACACTTGGCCACACTTCGTTGCCATTTGTTTTCCTCGCAGCTCACCGCCGTGTTGGTAGCTTTTTGGCAGCATTTCCGCCGCTCCCCCGAGAACCACTTCAGAAAGATGTCGTGGACGGAGTCCACGGGTCAGCCCCAGTCAGCTACAACTCTGGGATCAGCGCGTGCGAGAAAGGCGAGCAGTGGCAGCCGGCCTTGGTGTTGCTCAGCGATATGTGTGAGGCGAAGCTGGAGCCCAACGTCATCTCTCGTACATGGCCGGGGGACCTCCTCCTCCTCGGAAGCGCGTGCGGGATGGGACACGCACCAAGTATCCAACATCGGCCTCGGCGGGCGCGGCCTCGGCGGGCCCCTGGGCGCCCGCGGCGCGGCCCGGCGCGCCTCCCCGGGCGGCTCATTCACGCCTCGGGACGCCTTCAGGGAACGCCGAGATCGGGCCAGGATCGATGAGAACGAAAGGACCCGTGACCCGGCCAACACGATGAAGACATGGACTCACTGAGGTCCCCGAATTCACATTAGGGATAATAAATCTGGGCGGTTCGGTTTGGTACATCTGCAGACAAGACCCCTATCCTTGAATGCTTCTGGCCCTCATAACCTGAGTCCCCTCCCAAAGGGTTAGTGGTCCAGCAGAGCTCCAAAAGACGGCCCCAGAAACCGCCCATTGAGTTTACCATGGTTTGTTTGTGCGAGCACGGTAATGTTTGGTTTTCTTGGCGTTTATCGCGTTTCGAACACTTTCACGATCCATATCGTAAACGTGTATGCTCAAGCTCGTCCTGCAGGGGCTTGGACTGAGCGCCCCCCCCCGGCCGGCAGTGCATGGAACACGCGCTGCAGCTGGGGCACGCGGCGCTTGGATCGCTGGTGGCGTTGTCGGCCCTGCGACCGACTGGCGTGTGATTGCACGCCGCCAGCGCCCGACGAAGGGAAGCTCGAGCTGCGGGGCCTGTCGCCCAGCGGTGCGGGCCCGACAGGCTCACCGCCTGCCCGCCGCCCGTGGCCTGCCCCTTGGCGCCCGAGTGCCCAGGGTTGCTGGGCTCTCTGATGGTCGCCTTCGGCGGCGGCGCTCTGGTCGGCGGCCTGGTGGTGACGCTCGCGCCGGCGATCCTCGACGTGGGGGGCGTGTGGCAGCAAGCCTGCGGGACGGCGACGCTGCCCGCGCCTGCGGCAAGGCTGTCCATCGGGCCTCCCACGGCCTCGGAGGAACCGGCAAGGAGGAGGGGCGCGCCCAGGTCGAACGAGTGCGAGCCTGCCGTGATGGAGCATCCCTTTCTCTATTTTCGAGCTGCGGGAAGGCGACCTTGTCACGACGCAGTTCAGCTGCCCGCCGAGAGACCTGAGGCACGAGCGCTGTGTGGCGTTTCTTCCCGACGGGGGCTCAGAAGCTGTGGGCGTGCGTGCGCCTGACGGGGACGTGTACATGGAGCGCTTGGACCTGCCTGGCATGGCCTCCTGGATGCGGCTCCCTGGCGGCGTGCAGGACGGCGACTTGGGCGACGCTGATGTGCGCTGCGATCGTTTCCGGCAGGTGCCGCTGGCCCAGGAGCTCGGGGCACACACGGGCGCCCTGGCCCGCGAGTGCCGCCATCCTCCGCCCGGGCTGCCGCTGGTGCGGAACGTTGGGATGGCGACCCGCCGGGAGGCGCCGCCCGCCCAGGTCGTGACCGACGACCGAGCTCTCGGTCAGCATGTTGGGGAGCCGCTGATATCGATGCTGCCGTCCGAGGGTGATCTGGCCAGTGCGACGAACCAGGGCCTGGACGCCCAGGCTCTTCGTGGCGATCGGGAAGACGACGGGGACGACGACCTTCGGACCCTCGCGGAGAAGTGGGATCGCAAGAATGAGCGTCGCCGCACCTTGGACAGCGCGGTGGTGAATCTGTCAGAGATGGGCTTCGCGGATTGGCCGCTGATGGGGCCGAGAACCGCCTTGTGGTTGTGCAGATGCATCCGCCAGATCGGAGGAATCCTATCGTCTCCTACACACGCGTGGTGCGAGACAAGGAGGTGACGGAGAACGGTCGCAGCGCCCACAAGCTCGGGGTGCTGCTCAACGTTCTGGAGCTGGCTGGCTCGGAGGACCAGCTGAACGTCGGGGACCTGTCGTACATGGAGTTCGTGGGCTGCAGGGTCCAGCTGATCATCGACGCGATCTCGGACGGTGGTGCTGCCGTCCGGGAGGGCTCCGAGCACTTCATGGGACTCGGGCGCAGGGTGAGAGGCTTCGCCCCGGCTCTGCAGAGCCACATTGCCGCCGGATTCAAGGACGAGGCAGAGATCGACAAGTTGCGCGACATAGCGCGAGAGGCTTGGATGCTTCGCGGGGGCAAGTCTGGCGGCCAGGACAAGTGGCGCAGGAGGAGTGGGGGAGTCGCCCGACCCCCGCTCCTATTGAGGGCGAGGGGCCAGACGAGCTCCGCGTGGGCGCATGCTGCCGCCGCAGTTTCGGCCTCTGTCTCAGTCGCGGGCTTGAGATAGAGCGCGATTGTGCTAAGCGTGGTTGCGGCAGCTTGGGCTCCTGCTTCCCCGGCGATGTCTTTCCTCTTCAGCTTCCTGGCGTCGAGGCGCCGCCTCGTTTTTGGATTCTCCCGAAGTTGTGTTCAGCGAGCGCAGACCCTCAGGAGACAGCTGAAGGTAGTGCGTGAGGCTCGTGCTGCTTTGAAAAGGATGGCGGGGGCCGTTCCGCCGGTGGGCGAGAGCCCTCCTCGTGAGGTGCAGGAGGTCGCGTGCAAAGACGTGGACTTCCTCGCGCTGCACTACGCAGACGCCGCTTCTGAGGTGCCTTCTGAAGCTGCTCGCTCGCTTCTCCGGTACAAAACGAGCTGCGGCCCGTCTGACAGCCCCGTGCGCACGTTCGTGAGGACCTTGTGTCGTTGCCGGCCGACGCAGCCGATTGCCCGCTGGCGGCTGAAGTGCTGGGCGAGCGGGAGCGATCTCCGATGATGAGGAGTTTCCCCGATTGAGTTTCTCCGGGATGACGAGGAGAAGAGGTCTGAGCCACAACGAACCCAGACATCCGACGACTTTGATTTAATTGAGGTCGTTGTATGATATTGATTTTGTCGGATGACTCCAATTCCTCCAGATCTTATGAGATGACTCCAATTCTTCTGAGATGACTCCAATTCTTCCGAGATGACTCCAATTCTTCTAAGATGACTCCAATTCTTCCAGATGTACGACATTGCACGAGATCCCAAGCCGAGTTGCAGATGATTGCCATGTTGTCATCGCGCCGATGAAAATATGGTATACGTGTGCTATTATATGTTACGCCACGACATGTTAATTCGTTGGTTTGGGGGTTACGGCGGAGGCGGGGGAGGTTCATACAATGGCCACTGTGCCAACCCGCCTGGCCCGCGGACCCCGCCGCCGAGCCTAACGGCTGCCGTGGAGCGGCACGGCGGCGGGGCCACCCTTCCCACCCCAGCGCTGGACCGCCACGGCCTGCGTTTTTTTTTGGGGCCCTCTGGCGGTCCCGCTCGGGACCGGGTCGCGGGAAACGCGTGGTCGGGTCCTGTGGGGTTGCCACGGGTACCCTCATGGGAGGGTGGCGGTTCGGGGGAGGAGGAGTACGGAGGATATTGCGTGTTTGCTTTTTGGAGACCCCCTGTGTGTATATGTATATGTATATATGTATGTGTGTATATATGTTTACATATATATATACATATATATATATATATATATATACATGTGTATATATATATATGTATACGTACGTATGTATATATATATATACATATCATATATATGTATGATATGTATCCTTTCCCTGACTGGGACCCCCCCAAGCCCTATAATCCCCGATCGCGGGGGGCCAGAATTTCCGCGCATGCGGGTCACCAGAAACTGGCGTTGAACATCCTGCAGCACCTTTAGATTTAATGTCTGCTTTGGGAATACATAGGCTCCTGTGGCCCATGTTGAAGCAGAAACTAAATGGGAAATTTCGGCAGACATTGAAATTCAGTTTCTGCTCCAACATGGAAGCGTACATTAAATTTGAAATTATGCCTAATTATCAAGACAAGTTTCTGGTGATCCGCAGTAAACATTTACATACAGACATAGAAATGTATGTATACCTATAAGACCCCAGGCTGGCCGCAACGCAGGTCACCCATAGTCGCCGCCCGATGGTGACGCCACTTCGCCGCTGACGGGGTTCGGAGGGGAAAGCGAGCCTGGGTGTGGAGGGCGAGGACGGACAAGGAGGAGGGGTAGAGTTATTCGATCCCTCTCGGGCCCTCTCGTCGCCGACTTCTTCTCGAGATCCCCGTTCTGCCCTTAGAGGTCTCTCCCCTGAACCCCCCTCTCCCCTCTAGGCGCGCGCGCGTGCTTGCTTGCACGCGCGCGCAGCCCTCTTCTCGAGCGGCGCGCCCCCGCGGGCGCGCCGCGCCGCGCTGCCCGCCGCCGCGGCGGCGCCGCGCGCCAGGCCACCTCTTTCTCCAGACGAGGAGAAGGAGGAGGAGGAGGAGGAGGAGGAGGAGGGGGAGCAAGAGGAGGAGGAGGAGGGATGAAGGGAGGACTTTAGGCACTCCGTCGAAGACTCTGGTTGAGAAGCAGGGGACAGGAGGGACTGGAGGCACTCCGCCGAAACCTTGGTTGTGGAGCAGAGGGGCAAGAGGAACAGGAGGAGCAGGAGGAGGATGATGAAGATTCACCTCGAGGATCCCCCCTTCTGTGACGGGCGTTTCTCTCGATCCCCTTCTCTCTCATCCCCCCCTCCTCTCCTCTCCCCCCTCCCCTCCCATCCTCTCTCCTGCCCTCCTCTCCTCTCCCGTCCCTTTCTCTCCCCTTCCCTCCCCTGGCATGGCAGTGACAGGTGACGGTGACGATGATGATGCTGCTGGTATGGTGGTGATGTTGACGATGATGATGATGATGATGATGATGATGATGATGATGATGATGTTGATGATGATGATGATGATGATGATGATGATGATGATGATGATGGTGGTGATGATGCTGATGATGATGAGGAGGAGGAGGAGGATGGCAAAGATGGCGCAGCTTCGCTCCTCCCATACCCGCAGGGATGGCGCAGAAGCTGAAGCACGAGGCTTGCGCGACGGTGCCGAGGCTGGCGCTCGCGCAGGCTCCGCGCGGCGAGGATGAGGACGAGGACGACGAAGATGAGGACAGTACCAATGACGACGATCATGACGAGGACGATGTCATGACGAGAACGACGATCACCATGATGACGACGAAGATAATGATGATGCCCATGATGACGATCGATGGTGACGGCGATTGTGAGGAATTGTTGAGGAGGGTCAGCATCATTGATTAGGTGTTGCCTGATCTCTATATCTCGCCCCCTCATTTACCAACTAATGCTATGAACTCTCATTCGAAGGTGTAGTTTAATACACCGATGTGTGTATATGTAGATCTCTTCCTCTCTCGCCCCGCCCCCTGCACTGTCTCAATATGTGAGTGCGTATGCGTGACACGTGCGCGCATATACTATGTATGTATATGTATATACATACATCTGTGTACGCCCATACTTTAGCGTGTATATCTCACGCAATCCCTCACTCGTATCCCTGCCCTTCCCCCCGCAGGTTCTGAGCAAGAGCGACGCGATGCCCTGCTTCGAGCAGAGCGACATCCCCGACTTCAAGCAATACACTCCAGACTACAACAGCCGCATCAACCCCAGGAAGTTGATGGTCGGATGGGACAGGGGGCGCGGGAACGTATAGGATGGGGACGGGGGAGTGGTGGAGGTGGGAGAAGGAGGAAGGGACAGCAGATATATACAGATATATATATATATATAAGAGAGAGAGAGAGAGAGAGAGAGAGAGAGAGAGAGATGAGGGGGGAAGATGGACAGGGACAGGGATAGGCAGAGGGGGGAGAGGAGTAGGCAGAGGAGGAGGAGGAGGAGGAGGAGGAGGAGGAACAGGATGGGGACGGCCTCAGGAAGCAGACGTCAGGAGCTTGGGATCCTCGAGGGTGATGGTGATGATGAGGACGACCAGAATGATGATCGAGATGATCGTGACGACGATGCTGACGGCTGCGATGCTGATTACGACGTTGTTTGACATACCACCGTACTCATCATCGTCGTCATCATCGTCATCATCATCCCCATCATGACCATCAGCACCGTCACCCTCTTGCGAATCAGCATCGCCATCATCATCCTGACCATCATCCACTTCGTCCTCGTCATCCTTACGACCATCCCCATCCCCATCCCCATAGTGGGGAGGTCACGGTGATGGTGACAGTGCGAACGAGTGGGAACAGTCAGGGGGGTGGGAGGTGTGGGATGAGTTCGCATCGCAGCTGAACACCCTGAGCGAGGGCAAGAGGTTTTCTCAAGATGATGTGGAGGCACCCTCGTGCTCTCATGTTTCCCCTCGCGCTCTCACTTCATACTTCTGTGCCCGTCCGCTCTCGTCACACACCCCATTCGGACCCACCGCAGTCTCTCTCGATGCCTCTCCATGTCCATGTGCTCTTCTTCTGATTTCTAAACCGTTATCGTTGGCTCAATGGATCTCTTGTTCGATGGTTCCTTCTTCGAGGGCGGACCCATTGGACAAGAGATCGATTGAGCCAGCGAGAACGATCCAGAACTCAGAAGAGTCCCCCGTCAGCAGGCCGCGTGGGATGATATGTGGTACAATGAGCTGCTGGCGCACTTGAAGCGCACCGACCGCCAGGAGAAGAAGCCATCAAAGATGATCATGGATGGACATAGGCTCCACGGGTAGTATTGGGGGCAGCAGGGACGAGGGAAGCGTAAGACAAGAGAGGTGGAGGGAAGCGGCATCAGAGGAGGACGAGGAGGAGGAGGAAGAGGAGGAGGAGGAGGGAAGCGCAGGACAGGAGAGAGTCATCCGGGCCGTCGAACGGCCCTGAAGGGCAGTCCATGGGCGGCGAACGGCTCTGAAGGGCATTCCATGGGCCGTTCCCCGCGCGGTAACCTCTCCGTCTCCCCTGCTCCCCCTCGCCCTCTCACTCCTTGCTCTCTCTCTCTCTCTCTCTCTCTCTCTCTCTCTCTCTCTCTCTCTCTCTCTCTCTCTCTCTCCCTCTCTCCCTCTCTCCCTCTCTCTCTATATATATATGTATATGCTTGTTTCTCGTATCTTGCCCCTCCAGGTTCGTGCAGTGCCGCGCCATCAGAACCATCCTCAAGCACTGGCAGCTGCACAACGGAAAGTACCAGCGCTCGCCAGAAAAACACACGGCGGGGAGGGAGCAGTGCCGCTCCCCCTCTCTCTCTCTCTCTCGCTCTCACTTCTCTTCTCTCTCTCGCTCTCCCTCGCTCTCTCTCTCTCTCGCTCTATCTCTGTATCTCCACCGCTCTCAATTC